CAAATTTCTCAGCATTCCCACCTACCATTTCCAATGCCGCCTGTCAGATTCGACGATCCTTGGGACGAGAAGGACGAAGTTTCAGAGGGAAAATGCGCGTTCCCCGTTGTAGCTCTCTGCCCTTGTCTCGTATGTTTGATTCTCGTTCTCATGGTAGTTTTCATTCTTCTCTTTGTCAAATTCCATTTATATTGCCACACGCCTCTTCATTCTTTGTTCCTCAAGAAACAATGTTGATTGCTACGAGTTCCCGAACGATTAATTTCAGAAATCCCCCTTTCCCCTGTTTTGATTTACTAGTTAGAGGCTTTTGCGATCGAAATTCGCATTCGGATTCTGAAATTGAATGTGAGATTAGTGAGGATGATGATCGTGAGAGTGATTCTAGGGCAAATCCGATCGAAGTTGATCGTGTATGCAAGGTGCTCGACGAATTGTTTGCTTTAGATAGAAATATGGAGGCTGTTCTTGATGAGTGTGGTGTCATATTGTCTCACGATCTGGTTTTGAATGTCTTGGAAAGATTCAAACAAGCTCGTAAACCTGCATTTAGATTCTTCTGTTGGGCTGCTCATAAACCAGGATTTTCCCATGATTCCAAAACTTATAATATGATGATGACAATCTTGGGGAAGACGAGGCAGTTTGAAACCATGGTTTCATTGCTTGAAGAAATGGCTGAAAAAGAGCTTTTGACAATGGAAACTTTCACCATTTGTTTCAAATCCTTTGCAGCTGCAAAAGAGAGAAGGAAAGCCATTGGGATCTTTGAATTGATGAAGAAGTATAAATATAAAGTTGGTGTAGAAACTATAAACTGTTTGCTTGATAGTCTAGGCAGGGCAAAGCTTGGTAAAGAAGCTCAAGCCGTTTTCGAGAAGTTGTGTGGTCGGTTTACACCGAATTTGCAGACGTACACGGTTTTGTTGAACGGTTGGTGTCGGGTTAGGAATCTAATGGAGGCTGGGAAGATATGGAATCTGATGATTGATGAAGGTTTTAAGCCTGATATTGTTGCTCATAATACCATGCTTGAAGGTTTGTTGAGATGTAAGAAGAGGTCAGATGCTATCAAGTTGTTTGAGGTTATGAAAGCGAAAGGCCCGTCTCCTGACGTTAAAAGCTACACGATCTTGGTTCGAGATTTCTGTAAACAAAACAAGATGAAAGAAGCGGTTGAGTATTTCGAAGAAATGCAGGCGGCGGGATGTCGACCCGACACTGGAATCTATACATGTTTGATCACAGGGTTTGGGAATCAAAGAAGAATGGACATGATTTATGGGATACTAAAAGAGATGAAAACAAATGGTTGCCCACCTGATGGGAAGACCTATAATTCTCTGATCAAGTTGATGACGAACAGGCGAATGCCCGACGATGCTGGTCGGATATACAACAAGATGATTGAAAGCGGTATTAAACCAACGATCCACACGTACAACATGATGATGAAGTCCTACTTTCAAACAAGGAACTACGAAATGGGTGTTTTTGTTTGGGATGAAATGAAGCAAAAGGGGTGCTGCCCGGATGATAACTCGTACACCGTGTTCATCGGAGGGCTCATAAGTCATGGACGATGCAGCGAAGCAGGTAAGTATCTCGAGGAAATGATCGAGAAAGGAATGAAGGCTCCTCAGCTTGATTACAACAAATTTGCTGCTGATTTCTCTAGAGCTGGAAGACCTGACATTCTTGAAGAATTAGCTCAAAAACTGAAATTCTCTGGTAAATTTGAAGCATCCAATGTGATTGCACGATGGGCTGAGATGATGAGGAAGAGAGTCAAGAGAAGAACACCTACGAACATTGTCAATGCTGATCATAGCAACCGACTGATACACGATGAACACTATTTTTCGGCCCGTCGATGAGCGGGAAAACTCGAACCTTTGACCTGCCAATCGACGGTATATACCTATGTCGACGTCGGTCGGGCTATGCTCTGGTTGATTAGTCTATCCATTGAGTACTGTATTTTAACAGCAGACTATAAATTTATTAGAATTTCAGCTTGATTTATTTCACATCAGTTTGATATTAATTCTGTTTTGCTTAGAGAATTTTTTCTGATGCAGCAGGTTTTGTGGATGAGATCAACGGCCATAAAAAACCGAAGAGATTACTCGGGTAATTTTTCTCGATCTTTTAGTCGAAGATATAATCTTATTCGATCCAAAATTTTTAAGTATGTTGTTGAATTTTTTCTATTATATATTTACGTGAAAACTCTTAGTAGTTTTGTATCCTGGAGATCTTCGTCACTAATTCGTTAAACACTTATGTGACGCATTAACTGTGCATTACTTTTAGGGATAAGAGGTCGGGGCATTAACATAGAGACACAAAAGAAAGAAAAAGCTTTGGAACCGTTAAGAAACTTCTCAAGGTTGAATTTATTTATTAGAAACTTTTTAAAGTACGGAATTAATTATTCGAGGAACCCGTCACAAATCAAGCTTTTAAAAGATGAAACGAAGTTATTTACAATAAACATAGAGCAAACCGAGAAGGTTTATAACACTTTGCTACCACTTTTAAATTCTTAAATTCTTTTCCAAATTTTTAGTTTCCTTTTTAATTTGAATGGTTGGATTTTCCTAAACAATTTCGCTACTAAAATATCCAATTTTTAATTTTGTTCCAAATTGATGGTCGGGTTTCAATTTTCATGGAAGGTTCACAAAGAAGTCGAGGTTACCAAAAGTCCAGCCTAGTGTCACAACTATACAATGAAGAGAGAAAGTTGTGACCCTCGTATCGAGCCGACAAAGCGGCGACCTTCAAGAGGTGTCCATTCAGCCATGTGAAGGTTCCACATGGTTGAAAAAGTATGACCGTAACACAATACTAATGCTTTAAACCGTTCAGCTATGCTTAAGTCATTTCGACAACATTTAAGGGTTAAGGGTATATCGAGTTTAGCAATATTTAAGACGAAAATTTCTAATACATAGATTCTGTCTAATTATTAGGAATATTTTGCCATATATATTTAAAAACATTTAAATCTCTATCTACTTTTTCCTTCTTGGCTCAATTCCATATATAAATATTTGTTCATAAGGAGAGAAAAAGCTTGAAATTTTTGCAGAAGAACAAGAGTGTTTTAAACTTCAGCGGAGAACAAGCACAAACAAAGCCTAACAAAGTACCAGCAATTTCAAAGGTCTCTCTCTCTCTCTCCCTTACAAAAATTACTAGTTTTGTAACACGTTCGTAGAATATCGAGTTGGGTTAAGAGGATAGGTAACATGCTCGTGGAATAGCGAGTTGGGCTAAGAGGATAGGTAACATGCTCGTGGAATATCGAGTTGGGCTAAGAGGATAGGTAACATGCTCGTGGAATATCGAGTTGGGCTAAGAGGATAGGTAACATGCTCGTGGAATATCGAGTTGGGCTAAAAGGATAGGTAACATGTTCGTGTAAGAGGATAAGTAACATGCACGTGGAATATCGAGTTAGACAAAGATGATAGGTAACATACTCATGGAATATCGAGTTGGACTAAGAGGATAAGTAACATGTTCTTGGAATGTCGTAATAATGTTCATAATTATTTTTCTTTCGTTAAAAGATAAGTTTAGTCCTTCAATTTTGAGTTTTGTGATTATTTAATCCCTTTTAACTTTTAAACGTGTTTAGTGTTTAGGGTTTAGGGTTTATTTAATCAGTTTTGTCTGATATGTTTTGAATCGGGTTAAGAGAATAGGTAACATATTCATGAAATATCGTAACAATGTTTATAATTATTTTTCCGCCATTACAATACAAACTTAGTCCTTCAATTTTAAATTTTATGTCTATTTAATCTACGTGTCTAATAAGTTAGTCTCATAATTTTAATTTTGTATATGATATGTTTTTAACAAATATATATAAATATATAGATTTTAAATGAACTTTAAAATTCCGAAAATTTGTAATTTTCAAAATTTTAGAACTTTAATTAATTTATTTTTTTTTCAACCTTTTGAATTAATGTAATAATTTTGTACGGAAAAAGGAAAAGAATAATTATCAATAATATGCCATTGACAGAAAATATATACAATTACCTTTTTTTATTTTATTTTATTTTCTTGAAATTCTTTATTTAATTTGATTTATGTTTTGAATTATTTTATTTACTTTCCTTAAAATAATTTATTACACACTTTTCCTTAATTTCTTTCCTTAAAAAAATGTGATTCTCTTTTATTTATTTATTTATTTAATAAAATAAAAAAAACATGGCCTGTTTTTTCCTAGGAAACATATTCCATTATGGGTATATTTTGATTCTTTCGTATGTTTTTTTTTAATATTTAGAATTATTTCCTTAACTAATAAAATCATAATCTATTTATTTAACAGATTTAATTAATTTTAATTTAAAATATATTATATAAACTCATATTATTATTATTATTAATTCTTTCTTTTCCCATTCACTTTATTTCCATTTATTTTTTCATTGTGCTATAATTTCATATTTTTTTTTAATAAATTGTAATTATTTTAGATTTTGTTATCCATAATCTGCTTTTATTATTCTTAATATTTTATTTAATTGAAATTAATGAAAATTCTCCAAAATCCCAAATTCCTTAATTTTCTCATATTTCCATTTTTACCAATTTCAAAAGGCTAATTAATTTTTTTTTTTAATTATTATTTTGAATATTAATTTTTTATTTTTCATTTGTATATTTCTTGGTGGTGAAATTAGGTAATGATTGGAAAATTCACAAGTAGAAGAAGAAGAAGAGAACAGCCATGAAGCTTTGCTTGTTCATAATTTCAAGGCCAATTTCTTTCTCCATTTTATTGGTAATAAATCATTCTTCCATTTAAATCCATATTCGAATTATTTTTCTCCAAAATGACATAAACTATTCAAACTCGAACCTCCGTTGCAGGCATTTGTGTTACTCGTACTTCCAAGCTTGTTGATTCCATGCTGGTACGGTACGATCAAACGTATTCATTCTCATCTCGTCACGAATACCTACAATGATACCTTAGAAATGTCAATCGAGATGGAGAGAATATCAACTTCGATTCAACCAATTTATTCATCAACAACAAGTTTAGTTAAAACTTTCGACTCATCTCTCAATGGAACTCAGATTTCGTCTTTTGAACTGAAATCTAAGGTTAGCAGATAGATATACCCAATTCCTTGGCCTCAACTTGTTTAAATCCGACTATAAGAAAAAGGATCCTTCATCTTAAATGGTTGACTCGATTTGGTCTCGAAACATCGAGTAATGTCGATTACGTCTTCAAACTATTAATGTTTTGAATGTGTTTTGATCTTTCAGATTGCTCCTATGTTATTTCAAGGATTTGCAATCATTCCATACCTGACTCAAATTTCCTATATTGGGATAGATGGTCTATTCTTCTCATACTACACTGACAAAAACCAAACTTTTGCAGTCTATTCTAACTCAACCTTCAATGCCAAATTCTATCCTCCTCCTCCTCCTCCTCCTCCTCCTCCAGGAAGGGAATGGAGTTGGCTGACTCAATTAGTAAACTCCAGCACAGGGGAATTATATGGGGATATGGTAGAGACCTTACCCACAGTCACTACCAAGACAAGCTGGTTCCGAGACGCCCTGAATAACGAAGAAAGTGCCTCTGTAGGGAAAAAATGGAGCTCAGATCATGAACTTTTGTTGCTCAACACAGTCAGAGTAAATGGAAGAAATGGAGTTTTCTCATTTGGGTTTTCAATCAAAGCACTCATTGATCTGTTCTTCACTAGCATTGAACGACAAGGAGGGAGATTGTACCTGGCAAGCACTGAAGGAGAAATTCTTGTTCAAGGGTTTCAGAACATTAAGATGGTCCTTGCTAATGGTTTGGCTTCATTTCGGTTCTTGAAGCCGAATGGCAATGAAACTGCTCGCGTCGAGAACGTCTCATGTCGGCCTAGGAAAGAAGCTTTTGATGCAAAGGATTATTTCTTCAATCTCTTCGGTACAAACTATATGATATACTGCTCTCCACTTGAGATATTGGGTGTGCAGTTGGTAAGTCATCATTTCCAACAAGAACGTATTTCCTGAAAACTTAAGAACATATGAATCAGTTCATAGTTATAAGAATTGTCTGTTACTTGTGTTTTCATTTCAGGTCTATTCATTAGTATTGCCTCAGAAAGAGTTAGCTAGCCTTGTCCACAAGAGTAGTAGAATGGGACTAATTCTTCTTATACTAACAATGAGTACTACAGTTATCTCCATTTTTGGTTTTGTGTTCATAGTCATTAGAGCAGCAAACAGAGAGATGCATTTATGTGCCAAACTCATTCAACAAATGGAAGCAACTCAACAAGCAGAGAGAAAGAGTATGAACAAGAGTGTCGCTTTCACACAAGCAAGCCACGACATTCGCGCTTCTTTAGCAGGCATTATTGGCTTGATTGAGATATGCCATAATGAAGCTTCCCCTGGTTCAGATTTAAACATAAACCTAAAACAGATGGATGGTTGTACAAAGGATCTTCTAGGTAATTCACATTCAAAACCTGAACATTCATCTCCTTGATTGTCAAACATATAAAAATTTGGTTATAATCTATTTCAGCCATATTGAACTCTATTTTGGATACAAGCAAGATTGAAGCAGGAAAAACACAGCTTGAGGAAGAAGAATTTAATTTGAGTCAACTTCTTGAGGATGTGGTAGATTTGTATCATCCAGTGGGAATGAAGAAAGGAATAGACATAGTGTTAGATCCTTATGATGGCTCCATTATCAACTTTTCACAAGTGAAAGGTGATAGAGGAAAGCTTAAACAAGTGTTGTGCAATTTACTAAGCAATTCTGTTAAATTTACTTCCGAAGGTCACGTAACGGTTCGAGCGTGGGTGAAGAATTTACCTGATATGCAGAATAAGTTGATTCCTTCGAATCACAATGGTGAAATATTGAAGCATCTATCATTCTTATTATGCAAAGACACACCAACATTACGAGAACAGCAAACCGCAGATAATGGAGTTCATTTGAATCCTAATTGTTATGAATTTATATTTGAGATAGATGACACAGGGAAAGGCATTCCTAAAGAGAAGCGGAAATTGGTTTTCGAGAACTACGTCCAGGTAAAGGAAACAGCTCAGGGACAAGGAACTGGCTTGGGACTTGGCATTGTTCAATCTTTGGTATGTAACTTTTCCTCATGTATCTTGCTAATTTGCTGCTAAATGTTTAAGTTGAAGCTCAGCTCATTGTTTAGATCAAAGAAATTTCAAGTACATTTGTTTCTATTATTGAAGGTACGCTTGATGGGAGGGGATATAGAAATTTTAGACAAAGAGATTGGAGCAAAGGGAACATGCTTCAGGTTCAGTGTTCTTCTTAATGTTTCAGAGGGCAACATCAATTCTGGTAATAACTCATGCCAATCATTGGCTGCCTCAAAACTGACATTTCGAGCCCCCAGTCCAAGTCCCCGTTCCCCTAGACCAATCCAAACTACTAGTTTAAAAACCGAAACATCTCGTGTCCTTCTCTTAATTCGAAATGATCAACGACGAATGATATGCAAGAAATTCTTGGAAAGTCTTGGAGTAAGAGTAATGGCTATGAATCAGTGGGAGCAACTTCTTTTCACTCTACAGAAAATATTAGAGAAACAGAGCCATTCTAGGCACAGCCCAAGAGGCAGGTCAGGTAATAGTTCATCAGGTGATTACCTAAACAAATCAGCATCTGGTAACTCCAGCAATGGGCTAAATACAAATGTTTCTTTGGGTGCAATGAAAGATGAGACAAATTACTTGCTTTCAGTATTCAAAAAGACTAGTCCCAAAGGTGGAATTACCTTCATTTTGATTGTAATCGATGCCGGTGCAGGACCATTTACAGAAATATGCAATATGGTGTCTAATTTTAGAACTGGACTTCAAGAGGCCTATTGTAAGGTTGTTTGGCTGGTGGAGAATCAAATGTCACACATCGTCAACCACAAGGGGCTAGACTCGAACATTTTGGAGTTCAACGATGTTGTTATATCCAGACCTTTTCATGGTTCTCGTTTGTATGAAGTGATAAGACTTCTTCCAGAGTTTGGAGGCACATTACACAGCAGAGAAAGTAGTAGATTATATCAGACTGACAGTGTTCCAAAAGATCCAAGTTCATCCCTAAACGAATATCGTGGTAAGGCCAAGGAGAGGATTTCACCAAATTTTAGAGACCAAATTGCAACAAGAGTACAACAAGAAACAAAATCAAGCACGGGGACCTCCCCAAAGAATTTGTCATTGAATCAAATTCATTCCTTTTTAGGCTCAAAGACTAGAATCTCACCAGTTAGTGGGCAGCAAAGTCAACACCAAGAAATACAAAAACCTCTAGGTGGGAAAAAAATCTTGGTTGCAGAGGACAATGTAGTGTTACAAAGACTAGCTAGATTGAACCTTGAAAAACTTGGTGCAACTGTTGAGATATGTGAAAACGGAGAGGCAGCTTTGGAGTTCGTTTGCAATGGCTTAGGCAATCAGCGAAAACATGGAGCTTCAAATATTCTTCCTTACGACTACATACTAATGGACTGCGAGGTAAGAACTTAGCTACTAAATGGAAATGCACATATTATCCTACTTCCAACTAGAACATATATGAAAATGATCAAGATTTTAGCTTCCTGCAATAATTCATGTTCATTTGAGATTGATTTTTATAAGAATTTGCACATGCTAGATGCCAGTAATGGATGGATATGAAGCAACTAGACAGATAAGGAAGGTGGAAAGAGATTACAACACTCGCATTCCAATCATTGCACTGACTGCCCATGCATCAGGAGAAGAAGCACGAAGAACAATTGAAGCTGGAATGGATGTTCATTTAGGCAAGCCACTGAAAAAAGAGAGCCTACTAGAAGCCATTAAATGTATCCATAGTAAATAATGTTCTACTTTCAATTAGCAGATTAAACTATAAAATCTCAATCATTCATAGGATATAATATATGTGTACAACTAGTGAATTCAATGCTCGTGTTGTTTTATGTGTTTGGACATGTTAGAGGGATAATCTAATGACTCTGTTATCTCAAGGGTTTGATAAGCCAAAATAGACCTATCCTTCTGCCAAATCAAATCCTTGAATATCGATCCAAAAGAAACCACATGTAACAATTATAAAAAGATACTCAAAACAGGACGAACAAACACAAATTTGAATATCGATTGTAACGGCCTTGTCCTCTTTGGGCTTTCCCTTCTGGGCTTCCCCTCAAGGCTTTAAAACGCGTCTGCTAGGGGAAGATTTCCACACGCTTGTAAAAGGAAGGGTGTTTTGTTCTCCTCCCCAACCAATGTGGGACATCACAATCCATCCCCCTTCGGGGCCCAGTGAGGCTCTCTTTCCTTTCTCCAATCGATGTGGGACCCCCGCCAAATCCACCCACCTTTGGGGAACAACCTCCTCGCACACACATAGTCCAGTGTCTTACCATTCGTAATGGCCCAGATCCACTGCTAGCCGATATTGTCCTCTTTGGGCTTTCCCTTTCGGGCTTCCCCTCAAGGCTTTAAAACGCGTGCTAGGGGAAGGTTTCCACACCCTTATAAAGGGAAGGGTGTTTTGTTCTCCTCCCCAACCAATGAGGGACATCACATCGATCAACATCTTTTTGTCTCCACATATCCAAAACATTCAATATCAACACGAGACGTTAATCGATATTTACATTATACTATAAAAATATGAATGAAATACTAACAAAATTCCACTTAAAATGTATGAAATGGTATGAAGAATATCAATTGAGAGAAGCCTGAACGTTTAGATTACTATCATCACATCCTTGCTTAAAGATCATCCAGAGATTTGTAATATATGTATCACAGAAACAACAAAACTCCAAGATTCAAACAAAATGTTTAACAGAATCTGAACAATTATCAAGAAATAGTTCAGCTAGAAAGCCTTCATTTCTATCCCTATACTTGGATTCAATTTGTCAATTTTCACCTTAAATTTTCAATTTCTAAACATTAAATTTCACGAAAATGAACTCAAATTCTTGACCTACTTTTCTCTTACCTACTTCAATCTGTGGTATCTGGATGTAATCTTTTTTCCTTGAAAATGAAGATTCCAGCTTCCTTCCACCGCCGGTGTACACCGTTCTTAGAAGCTGATGAGATCTAGCCGTCGATTGCGTCTTCCTTATCAAATCGAGAGATTTCTCCCCTCAAAAACACCGAAATTCCTGAAAAAAGCATGACGTTTGCCGACAATTTGAATCATAGACCTCAAAAACGGAGAAATTCAATAGGAATAAGAGAAATCAGAGAAAAGAACAAGATTCTCGATCATCATTTAAATTAATTGACGATTTTCTTAAATGGAAAATGATTATTAAATTTAAAATAAAATTAAAAAAATTAATATTAAAATTTTATTTACAAGACATTAAATAAATTTAAATATATTTTAAAAATATATCTGAGAAATACACTATTAAGATCATATTACTCACACACTCGATCTAGATGAAGAACAAAAGAGATCATATAGGTTTATCTTTAAGTCTTTCTTAACTATTATATTTACAAGATTAGTCTCGTGGTCTCGGTTTATTCATGCACTTCTCTTTTACTCGGTGTCACAACTTACATGATCATTTTATATTTTTTATAATATTTGACATGACTTGAAATTACCGAAATAATTTTGGAGAAACACGGGTTAACTTTAATAACACTGAATTAGCATTAGAGGTGTATACAGGTCGGATTGAATTGAACCAACCCGAATTTTCAGGTTATTTGGGTCGGTGACGTGAATGACCCGAATACAATATGATGGTCACGTTTAACTCAAATATCAAACATTTACGAGTCACGACACATTACTAACATCTGTTACAAACAATAAATATGCTCTTAAAAGTAGAGTTGGGTTGAAAATTTTATTGTTAGGTTGGTCGGGTTGACCCAACTAAAAAAGTTCAAACCAGCAAACCGAACCGAACTTATTCATATAATAAACAAATTATTTAACTCTCGATCGACTATAATCACAATAATCGAAATCTTAGATAATTGATCGGCCATATTAAAAGTTTTGAGGCCACATCAAATGGAAATGATCCCGTTAAATAAAAAGTAATCACTAATTATATAATTATATTAGTAAAGTTATCACGATCCACTTTTCAAACGTTTGAATTACAGATCACGACGTGAATTGACAGATGGATACCGAAAAATATGGTAAAATTCTTATTTGAAAACAACCCAGTATTATAGATATATATTACAAATATTTATATATCGAAAAAACTGCTAGGAGAGACCGATGACTCGGGTGGACAACTCATGTACTAAGGTTTTCATTTGTTGCGAATTTTATTTCAATGAAACGCTCACCGGCTTACATAGATCCTCTTTTTTTTCGTGTCATAGGATCATAATTAAGTATAGATAATAATTATATAATAACGTTTTAAATCACATTATAATCGAGCCAACACGATCGAATTGACAACATCATCAGTAGGATGAAACGTCGTAAGAATCTCAAACCCTCGAAGATCAGAAGCTTCCACCACTGGATAAAGAAACGCACGTGCACCATACGCGCTTCTCAACATCAACAACGAGCCACTAGTCATGTTCTTTCGTAAATGCTCGATTACCTTAACTTTCTCCTCTTTCTCCATTCCCACCAACGCTGCCAAAAACACCACCTCGAACTCTCCCAACATGTCCGAGGTGACGTCCATGATATCAGTAGTGTGGAATGACATCCGCCTCGACAAGTCCACGTCGCTTGCCACGAGCGCCGTAGCCTTGGCATTAGCAGATGAGTCGACATCAAAGTTGTGAAACTCAGTCGTCGGGAGGTATTTCAAAGCCATGATGATGGACGAGAACGGGAGAGCACCAGAGCCAATGAATGCCACTTTGGACGGTAGGGAGGATGATATGTAACGGGTCAGAATGGAGAATTCGAGATGGGTTAGTTTGAGGTAGTTGGAGTAGTAAGGGAAAAGGGAGAGATGGTCAAGAGGGTTCTGGTGGGAGGCTAAGATGGTCGAGTAATGGTGCTCGAGTAAGCCCTCGGCTTGGCCGCAGAGCTTGATGAGATGGGATCTCATGGTTTGGACGGTCGAGCTGAGCTTGGAGATGTCGATGAGCGGCGGAGACGGTGGAGGAGGCGGCGGAGGGGTGCAGGTGAGGACGAGCTGAGAGAAGAGGGAGTTGACATGTTTGGAGGGTTGGAGGCTTTGGAGAGTGGAGATTTTGTGGTAAAGTTCCGAGACCTTTTGGACCAAAAGGAGCCCTTCGCCGTCGCAACACATGGTGATGGTTGAAAGAAGAAGAAAAGGAAGAGACTTTGTTGGTAGATGTCTAGTGTTCAACAATGGAGGTCCTTTTATAGGTGAAAAGGTTTACGGGTTCGTAAGTTGGGTTGGGTGGGATCGGGTTAAGACAGTTTTCGAGTTGTAAACCCTAATTAACTCAATCTGATTCAACTATAAAACTGCTTATTTTTCGGTATAAGATTTGGGTTTGTAAGTTGGGTCGGGTTAAAACATTTTTCGAGTTGTAAACCCTAATTAACTCAACTCGATTCAACCATAAAACTGTTTATTTTTCGGTATAAGTGTTGGGTTCATAAGTTGGGTTGAGTCGGGTCTGGTTATGACATTTCTTGAGTTGCAAACCCTAATTAACTCAACCCGATTCAACCATAAAACAGTTTATTTTTCGGTATAAGATTTGGGTTCGTAAGTTGGGTCGAGTCGGGTTAGATTAAGACATTTCTCGAATTGTAAACCCTAATTAACTCAACTCAATTCAACCATAAAACTATTTATTTTTCGGTATAAGATTTAGGTTTATAAGTTGGGTCGAGTCGGGTCGGGTTAAGACATTTCTCGAGTTGTAAACCCTAATTAACTCAATCGGACTCAACCATAAAACTATTTATTTTTCGGTATTAGATTTAGGTATATAAGTTGGGTCGAGTCGGGTCGGGTTAAGACATTTCTCGAGTTGTAAACCCTAATTAACTCAACCGGACTGAACCATAAAACTGTTTATTTTCCACACGCTAATATTTAGTAAGTTTCTCTCAATATTAGATATTTTCCAAAAAAATATGTATATATATATTAGTTGATGGAATTTTTATTTTCTTTTAATTATTTTATTTATTTAATTATTTATTGTTTGGGTTTTTGTCATTTATTTGAGAATACATCTAAATTTCAAAATTTTAAATTAATAAATTATATTATCAAATTTTTTTATTTAACCTTTTATTTTTTAATTTTTTGGAAAAAGATCATCATTATTATTAAAAAAAAAAAAAAGGGCAAAATGGAGAATTTATTTTAACTTTCTATATAATTATTTTAACTTAGAAATTTAAAATATATATTTTAAATCATGTGAATTAAATTAACTTGGATAATATAAAAAGAGTTCGAATTAAAATATTTATGAAAAGACGAAATTGCCCTTATATATTATAATTAGATTTCCTAAAATGGTAGAGCTTGCATGTGTTATTTATATATAGTGTGTTATGTCGACATTCCTAATTTAGATTTGATTATGATTAGGTGTATTTTTCAATTCATTGGCTCAAAAATATTAATCTTAATTAAATAATTATTAATCCTCCAATATCGATATAAATTTTAATTAATTCATTCATAAATAATACAGATTTGTCTTTTTCATTATCGAGAGTGGTTTACAACGATTATCCCTCTAACTCAACCCGAGAGATACTTAAAGCGTTTGAATTAGCCGATTACAAAAGACTAGAAATTGTTTTTAAAAATTTATCGTAATTAAATTAATTAATACTAAAGGAAAATTCACGGGAAAATTCTCGAGAGAAAGTTGAAATTACGAAATTGCCCTCCTATTTAAAATGTTCATATTTGATGTCCAAAATTAATTAAAGTGATTCATAATCTGTAATTTTAAGTAATTTGTTAGGAGAGATATTATTCTTATTCTATATTTATATTTTTCTAATTTTCTCTCGGGTCTATTTAATCTCTAAATTTTTAAAATTATAAATTAATCCTTCAACTTCAATTTTTTTTTTTATTTATGAATTTATTAAACACAAAATTAAAAATTTAAAGTTCCATTAAATAAAATTTAAATTTTGTATATAAAATCGGAGAGTAAGTTCGGTGTCTATTTAGTCTCTAAACTT